TTCATCATTATGTAGAGCTTTATGTAGAAACTTATGTACCACTAGCATTATCCTATTATTTATGGTTGTGGATTTGAGTTGAATGTGATAGTGTTGGTGCATTGAAGGTGATGGTGGTGGTAACTGGTGGTGCCAGTCTGCGATGTGTGCATATTAGTTCGTGGTGACCTTCTGTGACCAAATGTGTGTTTATTGTGACAGTTGTGGCCAATTTTATGTTGATTGTGACTTGATCACATATCGTCACATTTAAGATTGAATGGTCACAAACGAACATATTGAAAACAAATTTGGTCATATTTAGCCACATTGAAGATAAATTTGGTCACACTTAATCATTCGATAACACATGTTAGTGATTTGGTTACATACAGTCACAAATAATCACACTGACGACAAATTTGGTTACAGTTAGTTACATATAACATAAGTTAGTAACTTAGTTAGATACAGTCACAAATTAGATAGACAGCCACACTAAAAACAAATTTGATCACAATTAATCACATATAACACAGTTAGTCACAAATTTAGGGTGATTACACGGGGATGAGGGTGTAATCTCCAAAAAAACCTTTTAAAATTTTTTGATTTTTTTTTTAAAGTTGGTGTGGGATAGTCTCGGGGTGTGGTGTAATCTCCATAAAAGATTTTCAATTTTTGGAATTTTTTTACAAGTTGGAGTAGGGTGGAATCGAGTGGGGTGAGTTGTAATCTCGAGAAAAGTTTTCAATTTTTGAAAAAAAAAAAAAATTACAGGTGGTGTGGAATGGGTTAGGTCCGTGGGGGTGGTATATTATTAATTTGGAAGATGTGGAGGGAGGTGGGGTGGGGTGCTAATAATTGGTTGGGGATAATTAATTCCTCTATATATATATATACAAATCTCCGCCAATCCAAACTTAAACATTGAAATTATTATTTTTTTTGATAAATGTTATTGGTGTAAATAGGAAAAATATCACCGGCCATCCAACTTAAATGTTTGTTCCATGTTGGTCAAATAATTTCAATTTGTTTTAATTTGGTGACAGACTTTTATTTTTGTTGCAATTTAACCAACCCACTTATAATTTTGTTTCAATTGAACCATTTCGTATATAAATATAATTATACTTGACCTAGGGGTGACAAAAGGGCCAAAAACTCGAGGGTTAGGCTTTACTGGTTCCATCTCGATCCATTGACGACCCAAGCTCCATTTGAAATGAGCTCGATGTTGCCCTCAAGCCGACTCGTGGGTGGTGGGCCAAATATGACATTTTTCCAAACTGGCATAATTTTGACTGTTTGACCAAAAATATAATTTTCAATTAAAAAAAAAAAACAATCAGAATTTTTTATATAAACTCTCACTTCACTAATTTTTTTTTATAAATCTCCACCTTATCAGTTTACAATTATTATAATTTTCGTATTAGATTTTTTATTGTGCAAACTAAAACTTTTAGTGTCTCTAAATTTACTTATTTAAATTATTTCTGTTCAATTCTAGTATAAATTCTAGCCATTTCCTCCATACATTATTCCAAGATTTATGTTGAGTGTACACCTTGGTGTAGACTAAGGATGATAACCCCCCTCACAGGGGGTGGGCTCGCGATTATTTTTATAATCAGGCCATTTTGCCACCCCTACAATAATGGCTAATTATTGGTTTCAACAAATTAAATGTTGTAATAAGGTGTAATCTATTTGGAATAAAAGTTGTGCTAGGTATACACCCCGATCGACAGCCTCCTCCCTGGTAGGGCCCGTGATTATCCAAAAATTTCGGAATTTGTTCTTCTTTATAACTTTAGAGTCCAATCTTTTGCCCCCATGGCATATCTCCAAATGGTAAAAGGGGAAGATGAAAAAACTCCAGTTTTGCTTGAGGCTACAGCGTCAAGGGTTCGAATCCTGAAATATGGATTTGGTCATTGTGTAAGTGCAAGTATACAAGCAGCCTTCCACCCTATATCCTTGAAGGCATAACCTGCAATTTACCTATTTCACCAAGGCCCAGGGCAAGGTAGGTGGGGGCCGTCAAAGATGCGGTTCATCATTCATAAATGAAGTACTTGACAGGTAAATATTGGGCCCATCATCCACTTGTTGGTAGGTTGAATAGTCTAAATGGGCCCTACAGGGCTTGAGCCCACATAAACTACACTCAACAAAATACTGATCCAAATCACATGGCTAAATTATAGAAAACATAGGGCCCCGTTTGATTCTAATTATTGTAGAATGCGAATGAAAAATATAATCGTTATTGGGTCCCACATAAAAGATAGAAATTCAAAATCGTTGACTTGATGTGGTGAATAATAGTCATATTTTTTATTTTCATGGATGAAAAATGAGAAACAAACAGAGGCATAATTGTGGAAACTACACCCAACCAAATGTTTCAAAATTTAATTTCAAAAATCAGATCTAAAGTTTATTTATACAAAAATAAGATATTAATAATATTCAATAGACTTGTATGTTCTATTGAGAACCAGAATATTATATTTACAGTGAAGAAAAGTAAAGAAGTTGTATAATTTTTTGAGAACCAGAATATTATATTTATAGTGAAAAATTATGAATACATTGACAATAAAAAACTCCATAGGTATAATTGTCGTTAACTAATAATCAAATCATTAACAACACTAAGAGATTGTAGAGCAGTTTGATATGTGATAAAAATTGGTTTACTATACGTCCTTATTTATAGACTCCAAATGAAAAAGAGAGAAAAAAAATTCAAATTTGAATTAAATATCCGATTTGATGACATCCTTTGCATGGCTGCAAAAAAGGGTCATATAGACTGCACGGATAGTCGAGCCAATGGGCTGGCCTAGCGTTGGCTTCGGCGAGCTGGTGAACTTGCACTCGAACTAGCACGTCAGCCATGTCGTTGGCTGGCGCGTAATTCTTGTTGTCCGAAAGGCTCGTCTCATTTGTGGGGGTAAGTTGAGCCAGCGAGCCACGTGCAATTAACAATCCCTAATAGTTACCTACTTTATTCAACGTGGACCGTCCAAATGTCATGATTTTGTGGAACAGGTCCTGCGAAAAAGACATACACGTTCCTACATATGCACTGATTGCACACTATTCTAAGAGCGAAGCTCCGGAGATTTCTTTCCAAATTCCAAGTATTTACAAAATCAAAACTCCTCAATCTCCTGAATATAGAATGAATGAATATATTTTGTTTGTAATGCATGTATTTATTGAATAGTAGGGAATTTGAGTTGGGGTAGGATCGAATGGATAAGCAAGAGCATATAGAGGAGCGCCTGCTGAAGAAAGAATACTACGAGAACTGCCCGGGATGTAAGGTGGATCGGAAAAAAGAAATGCATCACGGTTTGCCCATCAAGCAATTCCTTATGTTATGGATAATTGTGCTTTCCTCAGGTAAAATAGATTGATTTTGGAATATTTTAGTTGCATTTTCTTGTCATTATATTTCTTCATATCATATTATTTAATCATCAACCATGTTACTTCTTATTTTTCTCTGTTGCCATAATCTGCTTTGTTCCTTTCACTCTTGTTTAGATCATTTTTATTATTGAACATAGGAGGGATATCCCTTTTAGGTCTTCCACCTAGACCCATTTGTGGTTGTTGGATTACCCCTACCTTGTTTATTGATATAATATAAAGGGTTTTGCTACCTTTCACAATGAGTTAACCTACTTGTACAAAATTGAGTTACAAAAATGGTTGACAAAATATGTGTTGACAAGATCTGAACCAATGATTTCAAAAATTCTTTTTTATATTATTGATTCAGATATTGCTAACAAATATTTTGTCAACCATTTTGTAATTCAATTTTGTACACGTAGCATTTCTCAAAGTGTCAACTCTGATGTACAAATAACAAAATCCTAATATAAAAGAGGAGGGGGACATATGCTTTACAATACAGTGGAGGAGAGAGACAAGAATTCCACAAATAAAAAACACAACAACCAATCGATTGTTGCCAGCCAATCACCGTGGCCAAGCAACATTATTCTTTCACAAATGGAAGTCAACTTCCACTACAACGAAACAACATAATCTTTAAGCCCCTATTTGGCACCCATTCTCTTTCTCATTTTTTTCTGTTTTTTCATTTCAATCATACATTCTCCAAATAAAATAATATTATACACAAATCTAAATTTTTTCATCACTTTTTAACCACACATTTTTTCATTAATCACTATTCCAAAAATTTTCAACCCATTAAAATGCTTGTCAAACACTCACTAAATAAGGTTAAACAATCATCATGAATTTTCAATTTCTCAATCAAGAGACAGCATCAATGAATTATGTGGCACAGTAAGCTCATTTAAATTAATATTTTAACTGGCTGACTATAGGTAGCATATCTTTTCTGGATCACGTTAATATTTTTTTGTACCCAGATAATAAGACTTGCAACGAATACAGTAAACTTCATATGTTTCTAAAGGGATTGGAAACGTGATTTCTTAGTTCTTTGTTTTCTTCAAGAGTTTAGAAGGGGAAAAAAGTGGAAACTTACGCTTATCACATATTATGAACCATAAACAAAGAGAACCGACCATTGAGATTGCTGTTTGCAAATAACTATATTCATGAAATTTAATGCTAAAATGGAATATCTACTTACTGGATGTTGTTAGGTAATCAACCTTGACCCTTTTTCCAGATAATATTATGGATATGTTTGGTACCAATTCTCATTTTCAACAGTAAAT